ACTCTGTCTCTGGTGAAGCCTCTCGCCGCCCCTGAGCCTCTGGCCTGTACCCCAGTTCTGTATGTACAAATAAATAAATCTTTAAAAGAAAAAAATATTCAGGCTGTGAAAGACGAAGAGTGACAGGGAGCCCCCAGGGAAGAGGCTGAGATGGCGCGACACCTGATGGCACCTTCTAATCCCGCCGTGTTCGGTGTTCAAAGCCTGGTGAGCCCCAGGAAGGACCTGCGCGCTGGCGACAGTGCCGCATCAGCATTGTCTCCTGAGCCGCCATGATTTTGGCCGAGTGTGCAAGGGTGTTTCACTGTTTTAGAAACACAGTGGTGTTTTCAGGGGCAAAGGGTTGGCAGGTTTGTAACTTATCCAGAAAGGGTCCAGATAAAGTATGTGCACGTGTGTGCAAAGAGGAGAAGAGAGAGCGCGTGTGAAGAGCGAGAGAAACGCGACGCGGTGAGGAAAAGGACATACCAGGTAAAACAGGACCAGGGCGCAGCGGGAGGACAGCGGACATGGGCTGCGGCCAGAGGCCTGAAAATCACGAGCCAGCATCTGGCGGAAAAGAGGACTCAGAAATGGGATTAAACTTTATCCTGGACATCCTGGCGCACATCCAAAGCAAACATTAGATTGCTTTAAAAAAAAGAAAAAAGATTTGCTTATTTATGCACACAGGAACTGGGGTATAGGCCAGAGGTGCGGGGGTGAGAGGATCCCCAGAGACAGAGTGGGGAGCGGGACAGGCCGATCCACGGAAACACACTGCCGAGGGGGCGGCGGGGAGACAGCCAGGCCTGCCACACCCTGGGGTCACTTCCTGGCCAGGGTGGACTCACACTGCAGTGGCTGCAGCTGGCGCCACAGGGCTGAGACTTGACCCCTGGCGCCACCAGGGAGCGTCTAACGCTAAATTACTTTCTACTGAAATCTCTTGTAAATGTATGAAAAGGGAGAAGAGCTTCTGTGTGAGCCCCACTCTTTTGGGGGACGGTCATTCAGCCTGTTACTGCTGGAGGAGCTGAGCTTGAGGTATTTACAGGAGCGCTCACTGTCATTCACGGGCCAGCTGACCTCCAGGGGAGCTGCACCGTGAGGGAGCCAGGTGTGGGCCTGCAGAGTCGGGTCGGGGGTGCCCTCAGCACCCGCCCAGGGCCGCCTCCGTACCTGGCTGCCACTGGAGCTGCCGAAGGTGCCTCAGCCAAAAAGACGTCACCTTGCCGTTTCATGGAAACAGCCTGCTCCTAAAGTCGTCTTCCTGCCGCATCTGGGTGACAACAATCAGTGAAAGAGTGAGTGTCCACAGCACAGGGCGCAACTTAAAAAAAT